TTTTCTTATTCCGCGTCAAAAACTGAGTAAGAAACTTACACAAGTAGGTTAAAAGCGACATAGAATCGATCTGACACATTTATGAAATCTATACAAGCTTTCTATTTGGTCTCTGAGAAACTTTTTCGGTAAGGATAGGGAACTGAAGAAAATAAGTATTTGCATTGACATCCGTCCGTTTCGAAGTTCGCGATAGATTATGATCAAGAAGTAACTGAATTAGAAAGAAAGTGGTGCTGTACTATCTTTCAGTTAACTTTGTTGCATAATGATTTCTAAATTCTAACGACCGATGCTTTCAATTGTCTCTCTTGGAAGATATTACAACATTACCTTCTGGACTAAATTCGACTGACTTATCAGTTGTATCACTGAACGAGATAAACCATTATCGCCCGTTTTCGATGCCAATAAGTTAGCTGTATAACAATTGATCAAAGCACATGCTATCTAGAGATAACCTTTGAGATATTTCAAGGATGAATTTTGAACAACTTGTATTGCTTCAACTGACCGTTCACTGCTTCGCTGATCCAACGAACCTTTGTCACCAAACGTGATTTATTTGCTGCGGCAGTGGTAAACTGTTTACGCGCAACGTAAAAAAGTTGGCGTTTTACTACGATCACAGTATACTTCTATCAAAAAGTATTAAATAGTGTCTCCATATTACATCAGTCGTCACTAAACGGCAAGTAATAGTCAGAGGTTGCTGGATACCTGTAGGCACTACAATTGCACAATCTTAATCGTTCCACAAGATATAACCCGGTTATATCTGTATGGTGATTAAACTTGATCTTAGTTCACATAAATTAGAGAAGCAACAGAATGAATATAAGATTAAAATATATATGAAGCTTGAGTAAATACCATTGAACTTTGTTGTTTTTAATTTCATTTCAAGTCAGGCCATACAAATTCTATATTTTTCTTTCTTCATAAGAATAACCGAAAAAATAAAACTGCGGGTGTCGAAAATATTTCTCATTCGATCTTATTTTTCTCGAGAAGTAGGACCACGTTGTTTAGTTGGAAAAAGAAATAACAAAAAACTTTTACATCTAGACTCATTCAGCAGAAAACTTCATAAAGGTGAGTAGGCAGAATTTTAGTGTGCTTATAAGTGGAAAGCTAGGTGAGCTGAAAGCTGCCAGAAAGACAGTTTTTTTTTAAAAATTCTTTCTCTCTTAAGGCAAAAATAATGGGTAACTCAGAAAGTACTTTACAAAGAGAAGAAAAACGTATTCTTCGTCAGCCGCAACAAGGTGAAGTAAGCGAATTTTACTGGGCCTGTCGAAACGGAGAAGCCGAGCGTGTTAAAGAACTCCTGCAAACGATTCCATATGACGACCTCAACCGCCTTGAACCAAATGGTAGTACGCCTCTTCACGCAGCGTCATACGCCGGCCAAGCTGAGGTAGTTCGTCTCCTTTCATACGAACGTGGCTGTCGACGAGATCGCCTTAATCTTCACGGTCTCACGGCATACGAAGAAGCTGCGTCCGAAGAAATCCGTCAATTGTTTCACCGACCGAATGGCAAGAATCGATTTTGTGAGGATGAGAGTGACAATGAACCGCTGGCAAGTCAAATCTTCAAAGTCACGACAAAAGAGGAGGCGGAGGGAGACGACGATGTTGATGATGACTTTGTTGGGGATCAGTGGGTAGCAGACTTGCGAAGTAAAGATCAAATAGAAGATGCTAAACAATTCGATGCAGCAGCCAAAGCAATCTCTCAGTCTAAAATTACAATGGCAGTTGCGAAGATGCTTGATAAAGAAAATGACCTACACACATGGATGAACGATGTACGGACACTGATCCATCATGAAGTCACGGAAGCACATCCTGAGTTTGAAAAATGTATCTCTCTCCTCGAAAAAGGCTTGAAAGAGAAAAGACCTGAACCTCTACTTCGTCTTTATACACTTGAAACTCCATTTTATAAGGCATTAGCGACTTATTCTTCCATCCCTCTAACGTTGCCACTTTACGGATTGTTGGATAAATTAAAACCCCGCCATTTTCATGGTACTTCTTATCGCGGCCTGAAGATGACTAGTGAAGATTTGCGTCCTTATCGATGGGCTTTGAAGAAAAAAGGAACTGTTTCAACACAGACTTTTTGTTCAACCTCATTGGATCGATCTGTGGCCGAACGATTTGCTGGTACAAGTACTGATGAAAAACAAAGTGTCCTAATGATCTTTACCTTTCCTACAAAATGTGACACAGCAATCAATCTTGGAAAACTCTCCGAAAAACTTCCGTGCATTTCCGAATATGAAGACGAAGCAGAAGTACTTGTGCTGGCTTCCACATTATTTATTGTTAACCAAATGGATACAGAAGCGAGACCCATGACAGTTCACTTGGAGAATGTAGAGGTTAAAAGAAGAAATTTGTTGTCTTCGTTAAAGTATATCTATGATCAAAGTAAGAAGCAGCACTGGTAAGAACTTTCACTAAACGATCGTGCTGATTAGTATCCACCAACACTATATTCTGCTTAATGATGGATTATTTTTGTTTCCGCACATTAGCTCTTCTGTAAAATATATTCTTTAACCATTGGGTGTGAAAGAAGCGTTTTCTACCTTGTCTAAACAGAGCCTTAACTTCACAAACTAACAGAGGCAATTCATTGCCGACAATTTTAGGTACTAACACTGCAGGAGTTTAAAACTTCGGTTTGCAAAGGTCAGGACGATAATATAGAATTTGCTTTTCGGGACATACTGAGCAAATTCTAACATACAGTTTTCAACACTGATCGAGCTTCACCCTTATTCTCTCCTTAAAAAAAGTGAACTACTACAGGTGCTTATTTATTAAACACCTTCGTAGAATCCAGCTTCTGCAAATCCACAGACTATAAATAGTAAGGAGCAGGACACAAAGAGATTTTTAAATTTACCTAGAAGGTGCACAGTTTTTCATCTTCCGTATTCTAAATACCGTTTTAGAGTGATACTCTCCATTTCAGATGTAAAAGGACTCAGTTGTAAGTTGAATAGCTCTTCAGCGAGAGCAGCAAGAAACCTGCGTTTGCGTTGTTGGAAAGAAAAGATAACTTTATGCTCTACTGTAACATTCAGCGACATCAAACCAGCTTTTGGCGCCACCTATCTGTGAAACGTTTTGATGTAGCCTTAGCGCCAATATATCGTATAGCACGGAGTAGTCCTTGGATATACATTCGATAGAGAAAATTGTTCTCATTCTATCTACGCAAAGCCGAGCTCTCTAGCTTGTGCTGTTTAGGAGCTATGAGAGCTTTCCTGAGAGCCCCGATTTCTGGTAGTTGGCATTAGGTCAGTCCAAAAAACTTCGAAATAGTAGTATATCTTCAGTTTAATGATTCAATCAGTTCAAAACTGAAAATAAACATCACCACTCGACTCAGCGTGGTGGATTACCTGTATTTCGACTATTTTTAGACAAAAATTCTTGGGTTCCAGAAAAAGCAAGATCTTGGCGCAAGAATCTCCCAAGATCTTGCTTTCTTGGCTTCAAGAACTTCCACTATGGAAGCTTAATTTGTCAGTTTTATTACTCAATAAAAATGAATACAATTTGTAAACACTTATCTAGAGAAAAAGAAAATTTTTTTGTAAATTTCTTCTAAAAAAAGGAATTATAAGCTATCCAAAGTTGGGAGAAATGTATCGTTTATTAGTTTTGAATAATTCTTTGTTAGTATACGAGTGATGAGATAAACTATGAAAACCAATCGTTTGTCCGCTTATATCGTAAGAATTATCTTATAAAGGTTTGCCATGGTCATAGGCACGACTTAAAAGTTTAATCAGTATAATTATACGTAGAGAAATGATCTGGGGCAGATGATTCACAAGTGTGAAAAAGCGTATTTCATATATTTCACATTCATGGAAACAAAATTCAAAGATCAGCAGTTTTAAATGTAAAAGTTCCGTCAGAGACTTACACACATACAGAGAAGTTTCC